TGCTGTTATTGTCAGATATTTTAGTTCTCTATATATTATAAACCAAACCATACATTGTTCTTATTTTTGCTTTGAAAACAGCCAATTATGTCTTAAAGAGACTTTTTTAAAGCTTTATATTTATTTATATTTTCTATTATTGTCATATTTATATTTGCCATTTTCAGTGCTCTTCATTGCTTTCTATAGATCTAAACTTACGTCTTTTATTATCTTTCCTTGTGCCCACAGGGCTTTGGTTAACATTTCTTGCATAGGTCTGCTGGCAATTATTTCCTTTAGCTTTTGTATGCCTCAGAAAATCTTTATTTTGCCTTCCTTTTTGAAAGATAATTTCCCTGTGTATTGAATTCTAGATTAACAGTTTTTTTTAGTACCTTAAAGATATTGCTCCTCCACTGTTTTCTTGCTCACATTGTTTCCAACAAGAAATATGTGGTGTTATCATTTCTCATCTGTATGTGATATGTCTTTTTTTCTCTGGCTGCTTGAAGAATTTCTCTTTGCCACTTTTGTTAAGCAATTTGATGATGATATACCTCGGTATAGTTTTTTCTGGGCTTGTTGAGCTTCTTGGATATGTGGATTTATAGTTTTCAGTAGATTCAGAAAAATGTCAGCCATTGTTTCATCAAATATTTTCTTCAGTGCTTCTATTCAACATGTTCAATCTCTCCTCTACCTTTTTGACCATGTTGAATATCGTTATAATTACTGTTCTAATGTCCATGTCTACTAATTCTGTTATCTGTGTCATTTTTGTTTTTTTCCCATTGATTGATTTTTCTTGTCATTTATGGGTCACATTTTCCTATTTCTATTCATGTCTGGTAATTTTTTTATTGGATTCTTGATACTATAGATTTAACTATCTTGTGTGCTGGATATTTTTGTATTCATATAAGTATTCTTGAGCTGTATCCTGTGACACAATGAAATTACTTATAGATATTTTTATTTTTTGAGGCTTGCATTTAAGCTTTGTTGGGTAGGATCAGAGCCGCATTTTTTCCTAGAGCTGATATTTCTTCACGACTTCTGCTACTGCTACACCACTGTCCTTGTGAGTACTTTACTTGATAGTCTATGAATTACAAGATTTTTCCACTCTGACTAGTAGGTACATAAACTATTCCTGGCCCTATGTGATCACCAGGGATTATGCCTTCTAATCTTTTTGGGTTGTTTTTTTCTTCAGTGTTGGGTAGTTTTCTTACCTGTGTGCTCTGCTCAGTATTCAGCTGAAGCCCCAAAGGGAGCCCTTTGCAGATCTTTGGATTTCTCTCTCTGTGTGAGCTCTCCTCTCCAGTACTCTGCCTTGCAAACTCTAGCCACCTCTGCCTCCCTGTACTTCCTGTATGTCTCCTCAACTCAGGAAGATGCCAGGCTCTACCTGGGTTCCCCCTCCCTTACCCTTTGCAGATCTTTGGATTTCTCTCTCTGTGTGAGCTCTCCTCTCCAGTACTCTGCCTTGCAAACTCTAGCCACCTCTGCCTCCCTGGACTTCCTGTATGTCTCCTCAACTCAGGAAGATGCCAGGCTCTACCTGGGTTCCCCCTCCCTTTGCTACAGGGAAAACTCCCTCTAGGTGGTGAGCCAGGATAATTGCAGGGCTCACCTTGTTTGTTTCTTCCTCCTCAGTGATCTCAGTTCTGCACTGCACAATGCTCAATGTCTGGAAACCATTGTTGTATATCGTTTGTCTGAAGTTTTAGTTGTCCAGGCAGGAGGGTAAATCTGACCTTTGTTATACCATCTTGGCTACAATAGAAAGTTTCATCATCAATTTTAATTTTGAGGGCTGGAACAAGTAGAGGTGAAATGAATATTTCCAACCAAGCAGGAAGTCTTCCATTTATTCTGTAGCATAAACAAAGATAAGAGAAAACGTTTCACTTTTATTTTTGTAAAAAACAATCTATTTTTTTTAAATGTCTTTAGTTTTATGGATATTGTTTCTGGAGAGGGAAAAAACCCAACCAATTTACTTTATTATAACATGACAGAGCCCCCAAATAAATTACATCTAATTCTTACTGACAGCTCTGAAGGAATCACTAGCAGAAGAGAACTAAAATGGATGTTATTAAATAAGTCAAATTAGCGTTCTGTAAGTAGGATGACTGCTGGGTTATATAATCCTATCCATAATGATGAGCTTTGACCTGATGCCTTTAGTCAGGTGATCTGTAAATCACAAACCTGAAGGTTCCTTGCAGGTGCGTTTTAGAATCACATGGTCTCATGTTACATCAGTGGGAAAATAACAAAACCCCTTTTAAAACCAACATCACTATTTCCCTTGCTTGCCTCATCTGGGCCCTCAGCCCCAGGGACAACACTGGGAGGGTGTGCGCCCAGGGCCAGGGCACCCAGTGCTCCCTGGCCCCCAACCCTCTGCATTCCCTCAGAATTCTTACTGGGAGGTTAGTTCAAGTTATTTCCCAAATATCAAGAGGCATATGGGCCTGTTTCCATATTAGTCAAAGGTCAACAAAAATCTGTAGGTTAGGACCCCCAGGGCCTGCTTTTTGCTGAGCAGATGTTGTGGGGGGTGATGGTTAGATTAGCTATTTTTTCCCATTCATAATGTTTAGATGAACTAGTCCTACTAAGGGCCAGGGAGCATAGCCTTGTCTGGTACCAACCTTTGTAATCTCAGTTTTGTTACAAGATTTGGGGGTCTGGGGGAGGCATGGAGAGGGTGTCACTTTCTGCTATTTTGAGTTTGAGTTCAATTACATCTTCTGGTACACACCATACTCCATTTCCAAACACAATTTTTTTGTTAGAGGCAGAGCATTAGCTGGACTTGACACAACGCTCTGTTAGGGATGTTCAGGAATAAACATCGATGGAAGTCAAATTAGTCAACTTTGTACATCAACAGAATGTTAAAAGTAGAACAACAGCCAGATTTAGTCTTGGGAGCAGAACCATAGAGAGAAGTCATTTATCACTTCACCAGGTTTATTTTTAAGAAAATATTTTGATGAATTCAGCGAGACCAGCAGCCCATGACTATGGCTAACTATGAACTACAAGGTCACTGATACTCTGTCTGCCCCACCCCCTTGCAAACAGGCTCTCCTCCTGGGTCTTTGGGTTCATTCCTTGCATCTCTGTCCTCCACTTGGCCCAGGCTGGAAACCTGAGCCTCTTCTTTGACATTTTCCTCACTCCAAAGAGCAAGCTCGTCCTGGGACCCTCAGGGGTTGTCTCTGCAAGCAGCATCCCTCTCCATCCCTAGAGACTGTTCCTGGACCATCGAGGCAGCCTCCACTCTGGGCCCTGCCTGTATTCTCCATGGCTTTCTCCCCCTAGTCTGCAGACTGCTGCCGCAGTGACCCTTCTGCAGCACTGTCCTGCTCATGGTTATCGGAGCCCCCTCTTTGAAAGTCGTATTGAATTTGAAATAAAATCCAACCCCCCTCATTTGGCATTCAGGGTCATCTGTGGGCAGATGATGAGAGGCTCCAGCTTCTGCTTTTCTGACCTCATTTTTCATGACCCTCTCCTGAGGACCTCACATGTCAGCACCACACAAATCCCTCCCACCCTGATCTCTCTGCACACCCCCACCTCTGAGCTTTGCTTGTGCTACTTTCTCTCTTGCAGTGCCCTTGTATTAGTTTCGTAGGGCTACTATGACAAAGTATTACAATCTGGGTGGCTTATACAACAGAAATATATTTTCTCGTAGTTCTGGAAGCCAGAGTCTGAGATCAAGGTGTCAGCAGGGCCGGTTCCATCTGAGGCTGTGAGGGAGGATCTGTTCCAAGCTTCTCCTCTAGCTTCTGGTGGTTTGCTGGCAGTCTTTGGCATTCCTTGACTTGTAGATCGCTACCTTCATGTTTACGTGGAATTTTCCCTCTGTGTGTGTGTGTGTTCCCTTTTTATGAGGATGCCAATCATATTGGATTAGGGGCTCACCCCACTCCAGGATGACCCCATCTTAACTAATTACATCTGAAACAACCTCATTTCCAAGTAAGATCACATTCTGAGGCAGTGAGGGTTAGGACAGATTTTGAGGAGATAATTCAATCTGTAACATTCTACTCCTCTTTTGGAGTGGAGGGTTGGAAGGAACGTGGAGTGAGATGATATGATGCATGTTAGCATAGTAAGGATCTGAGAAGTACTGAGGTAAAGAAACCAGCATTTCCTAGCTTACTGGATCATAGCCCCTCTCCCCCATTTAAAATTTAAATCTCACCAAACTAGAGTTCTATGGAACATGGCTCAGGAAGTGTCCTAGTCTGGCCCAACTTTCAGATTTACAAGGCTATGAATATTTACTTCTATTTTGAAGGACTAAAACACGGCCAAGAGACCAAAGCAGAGATCAGGGAGCTGCTCCTGGAAGCACTTGGCCTGGGGCACCCCAGTGATCTCCTAGGAAGGGCCACATCATAGGGGTGAAGGGACAACCAGAGAGGTGGCAGAGGGACAAGTCACCCCAGCAGGGTCTTGCTGCTTGTCTGCATGTGCACCCACACTCTACAAATGCCTGGCTCGATCTTGCTGTATTTTGCCTTCCAAATCACAGCCAGGCAACTCTAGGGGTTGTCTTTCTGTATCACTGAAGCATTCTGACCACTGCCCAGCGGTATTTTCTTAAGGACTATGTGCAAATAGAGTCACCGTTTCACTTGGAGACTCAGTTCTAGAGATCCCTTGGAGGAAATTCTATTTCAAGAAAGTGAGGATTTAATTAAATAAATACACATTTAATTTCCAGTGCTTGGTAGATTTCAAGAGACAATCAGTCATTTACTCTAAAGTGTGTATTTCAGGCACTCATGTGGTGCTTATTAACCTCTAAATGCCACCAGCTCAGCAGGGTTTGGCCTCAGAAAGACATTTTGCTGATAATGGGTAGCTCCACAGCAGGGGCCCACATCCTTGCATGATGCTAGAGGGGTTTGGTGTGGCCTGTTTCCCCTTGCAATAGTCGAAGCTTATGTGAGATAATGGCGAATGATAATAACAAAACTTCTGTCTTTCTCCATACAGCTGATACCTATGTGGTTGCCAATGATTCAGTCAAATATCAAGGTAAGTCACCCCTGGGCTTCCTGGAAGCTCACTGTCCTCCAGAGAATATCAAAACATTCACAGGGATTGTTGATGCTCCACTTACTATGGAGAAGGATGAATTCAACTCGCTTTTGGTCTTAGAGGGCTCATAATTCAGGAGACCCTATGGGACCGGTAAGGGGCCTGCAGGCAGAGGCTGACAGCAGAAGCCACTGTCCGACCGGTCACTGTTGATGACAGTGCAGGTGGAGGGGGAGTATCCCAGAGTCTAAGCGAGGCTCAGCCCACTGATTACAATGCAGGCCGAAAAGTTACCCCATCTCTGGGGAATAACCATGGGATCTAGGCCCAGGCACATCTAGTGATATTTCCTGGCCACTAAAGTTGATTTTCTACAATGGGAAGAATTCTATTAAGAAAGGATAACATCGAGTGGATGACAGCATTAGGTGTGAAGGAACCTACCCCCTCATTTTGCATATGAGGAAATTTAGGACCAAAAGGAAGAGTGACTTGGACAGGGTCCCATGGTCTAGAAGGGGAAGACGCTGGCTGAATGTGTCTCCCAATCCCAGGCCTCACCTTGAATGATGCTTTGTCATTGGTGCTATCTGTGGCCACTGGTGGGGGCATCAGCACTGCTGAAAACCTCATCTCAGGACTGGTTTTTACTGTGAAAAGTGAGTTGCTTGTACTTCCACCTTCAAGCATTCCAGATCGCCTCTCCCACCCATTTCTTTCTCTACTTTGTGGCAGTCTGTGGCGATTTTACATTCACAAAGTGCCAAGAGAAGGCCGAGAGAACTTGATGAGAAGCTGGGAGAAAGAAGAAGAGCTTTCATTCCCAGCTGCTTCATGTTCACTAACATGTGGACAGAGAGACTAATCATAATTAAAATGTAATGAGCACTTACCATGTGCCAAATTCTGTTCTAAACACTCTGTTCACTCATTTATCCTTACAACCTCCCACCCTGCTAAATAAGGGTTACTACCTCCACTTGACCCATGAGAAAACCCAAAACAGACTGGAAAACCTTGTTCCCAAAGTCGCCTACAGAGGAGCCAGGCTTTGCACCCAGGGAGGCTGTCAGCAGAGCCTGGCGCTTACCCACCACACTGGGCCATGTGGGATGCAGCTCCTGGGGGTAAAAGTGTGTGTCAGCCCAGATGCTGGGGTGTCAGCTTTATGCTCCTGTGGCATGTCATTTGAAGGATAGATTTGAGCCAGGGTGACTCTAGAAACATGGTATGGGCCCATGTCCCCCGCCCCGAGTGCTGCCAAATTTGAGAGTTTGCCAGACAGCCCCTGAGCCCAGCGTAAGTTCTGCTTGCAGAAGCAGCCCCGGTTGCCATTTCCCGAGTTGCCCGTGAACGCTAGGAGGAAACTAACCCATCTTGCCTTTTCTTAACAGCACTTGTCTGCGGGCCTCCAGCTTCGCCTCCAGGCCATTCAGAACAACGTGAACCACCACAGCCTAAGGACGCCACCGGGCTCAGGCTCGGGCCAGAGCAGTGCCGGCCTGGTGGCCCTCCGCAAGTGGCTGCAGTGCACCCAGTTCAAAATGGCCCAGGTGGAGATCCAGTCCTCAGAAGCAGCCTCTCAATTTTATCCTCTATGAGCGGACTCCTCGGCTCTCAGTGTCAACACTCTGGTTTAGCAATAATGGGTTTAAAAACAAAACAATTTGATCCAAGCAGTTGGGGAACATATTGGTACTGTACATTCTCTTTCTAGTTTAGTAAAAGACGTGCAAAGGCCAGAGAGGGCCACAAACGAAGCTTTCTTGCTACACACATTTCTGATGACTCCTTGGGCTATCTGATTAAGTGTTTCCTTACATTATTTTTTAAAAACCAAATCATTTTTCTTTAACTAACTTCTATTTTTTTTAAGAAAAAAAAAATAGACTGGTGGGTACTCACAGAAAAGTTGTATAAGTCCCCCTGTTGCTATTTTTGATGATAGAGAATAAATAGGGTTTTTGAAACCTTTGTAGTGTTTTTTCTTAAAATCCACTCTTGGCAATGCAATAAAAAACCCGTCACCATAAGGCAGTGACACCTGACTGGAGCTTTTTGTCATTACCCTGGGAAAAGTGGCAGCTTGCAAGGAACATTACAAAGTGCACTTAGAAATTAGGTGGTTAAACTGTGCCAACTGTTTCCTTTGTTTTATAATATCATTTTCCAAAACTGTCCAGTAAGTCTTATTATTTTTAAAACTAGTTTTTCAACTCATGAGTTCTAGGCTGTACTTTCTTGTAAGCTTTATGATAACCACTTTAGTTTTGTGAATAATAAATTTTATTCTTTTGTTAATACTTGTATACAACTCAATTTAAAACTGTAGATTGCATACTGGACCAGGCGAGTCCCCGCGCTGGCACAGAGCACTGCACCTGGAGTTATGTTTCATACAACGGAATTTTAATAGTGTGAGAGCACCAAGATTTATCAGCACTTATACGTAGCATTTGACTGTGCATTCCAAATGAAATTTCTTTTCTTTATCCCTGTAATGCACTGACTAAAAGAAGACTTAATACACATTTAAGCTGTATATTGACATGCTATTAAATGCATTTTTTTTTATTATCTTTGTGAGCCTGGGGTTTTTTAAAAACAATTTGTAGAGCTAGAGGTTAGTTCCTGCCTACCATTTCTTCTAAACTTTTAGAACGTCTAACTTCCCTTAAAATTTCAATTATTCGGAGGAAAAGGCTTGCTCTCAGGTCATTTGGTGAGAGAAATACACAATTTATTTGAAGCCCATTCTCTAGGAAGGACTTTGAGGGCATAGGACAGGGGTTCTTTTTTCTTTTCTGTTTTTTAAATGTTGGTTATTAAGAGGCTTCTTCTTTCTTCTGGGAGGTCTGATATCTCAGCGCTTCTCAGGGGAAAACATCTCCTCAGATGTTTGAGTGTTTGACCTGAGTTCTAGAAAGACAGATGGCAGATCTTCATTCTTATGAAAACTAGCGGGGAAACAATAGGACCCTATGTTAAGAACATAGAACTTATTTTTCTTTGTATTTTACAAACAAACTCTTCTGAAAGGCCTTGCCCCAGTCAAAACTCTCAGTGCCAGTTGCATTTGGCTCTGCTTCGGTGAACATTTTGTTCTGTATTATAGTAAGTTGTGCATATATTTCTCTCTCTGTAAACTGTGACAGCTTTGAGGGTGTGTACTATCTCTGTATCCCCAGGGTTTGGCACATAGTATGTGTTTAATTAATGTCTGTTGAATTGAATGGACTCAGTTAAGCAACAGGTCTTTCTTGGGCTACTCAATGGGCTCAGCAAGGGCTGAATTGTGACATTCTCCTTTTTTGGGCAGGGATTCCTAGAGGGGCTTACAGAAACAGGCAGAGGCCCTGGCTGCTTTCCCAGTGAGGGGTTTTCTGACTTTTCCATCCAGACTTAGCTGTAGGCCTGGCTCTTGGCTAGTCCCGAGCCCACCCTACCCCAAGCAGCCAGGACCTTAGTGGCCCCATCCTACCAATAGACAAGGCCCGTAGTTATTCACAGCTTCTTCTCCAACCCTGTCTTCTTTGCTCAGTTCTTTGAATGGGCTTCCGCCTCGTCTTCCCTTTGTATTCGCATGCTCCCTCTAGGGCTGGGGATGAGCCCTCAACTTGGAGCTCTCTGGGCCCCCATTTAATGCTTTCCCTTGTCTGGACATGTTTCTTTTACCACAGTCCCAACCTGGGGTCTTGGTCCCACTCAGACAAATCTCTGTCTTTGCCCTTGAGAACTGTAACACTTTTTTTCTGCCAGCCTGACCTGAATACTGCCCCTGCTAACACCCAGCCACTTCACTGGCTGATAGAGTCAAGTGAGCATCTCCAGCCTATACTGCACCCACACATTTCCAGTGGTATCTTCTTGTTTCTAGACTATAGAGTCTAGAAAGTCTAAAATATTTATCATCTGGCCATTTACATGAAAAATGTGCTGACCCTTGGCCTAGGTGAAGGCCACTGAGGAATACTGAGCTAGAACCCTTGCATGGATTTCTTTTCCCTACCACCCCAGGGGTTTTGGGATTTCATTATTAGTGTTTCCTCATCTGTAAAATGGGGACAGTGACACATTCTACCTCATAGGGTTGCTGAAGTGATGAAAGAATGCAAGAAAAGAGCTTAGGGCAACACCTGGCACGTGGTAAGCACTCAAAAGTTATCAATTATTATTTTTATTCTCATGTTAAGGCCTAGAGAAGTAAAGCTACTTGCCCAAGGTCATGCAGCTAGCAAGGGGCAGAGCAGAACTTGACCACAGGCTGTCTGACCCCCAAGGACTGTGCTCCCAACCACTGCCCATAATAACTCCTGCTGTACCGCATGCCAGCCCCAGGTGACAGCTGTGAAAGTAGAGCAGAGGACAGAGAGATCCCAACCAAGGTTTACCTGATTCAGATTTGGCCAGCACTAATTATCCGCTTAGAGGAAGTCCAAGGAAAAGACTGTTTTCCTTTCCTTGTGGAGTCCTGCTGGTTTCAGAGTATGAACAGAACATTCTGGGTTTCCCAAGGGTGGAATGGGCCAAAGTCTCCGAATGCATAGATTCCATTCTGAATGATTTTTTATAATGGGCATGCCTCTTACTTGTGGGGTGACCTTGGACAAGTTAGTAAACTTCTCTGGACCTCTGTTTTTTCTTATTTGTAAAATGGAGCTATCTACCTATCTCCCTGAGGTGAAAAGCTCAAATGGGCAGAGGACTGTGATGGTGCGTGGGAGACTGTGCTGGAATCTACACACCTCTGGGAAGACCACACAAGGGGACAGCTCACAGCTGCTGGCTCATTTGGTTTTTCCTTCAGCCGGTGCCTCAGAATCAAGACCTACAAGACCCTTAGGAGACAACGTATGGTCATTAGCCGAGAGAGTCCAGTTTCCATTGTATGCCGTTTCTTTGCAAGCATGTCAGTCTGCCTAACATCAGGATATTTCCAGCAAATCTCTTCTCCGAGAGTCTCATCTGAGGCCAAGTGTTTGCAGGAACTTCATCTCCATTTCCAAGCTACAACAGGCCAAGTAAGATTGGACTGGATCAGAGAAGATGGGTTATCCACCAAGACTCTTTCATGAGCTGGGATTGAAGGGCCTCTGGCATTAATTGGACAATGCAAATCATTTATTATACTTCTAACTAATTTGCAAATGTGTATATTGGGAAAATTGAGTGTTTTGACAGTAATGGCAGGTACTTAAGAAAGAGTGGTTGGAACTCGATGGAAAAGTACCAAACCATATTTTCATGAAATTCAAACCCTTTGGGAGATGGCTGGGGTGTTACTAGTAAGAGGCTGGCCAGTTCTTTCCACTGACAGGAGCAAGCAGGCAGCCTCCTGGGAAGGGGATTCAAGAGAAACCACAAGAACCACCATTTATTGAGCATCTACTAGGTCCCAAGAACTTTACATACATTATCTTTACTCTTCTTAGCCTGCTTCCCACCCTTGAGATAGGTGTTATTAGTATTCTCATTTTACAGGTGAGGCAACGGAGGCCCAGAGATTAAGTGCTTCATCCAAGGTCACCTAGCTGGTGGTAGTAGCATTAGTGCTAGAAGGCCACCTGACTGCCTGCAAGTCACAGCGTCACTCAATGTCAATTCCTCTTCCTTTTTTTTTGGGTCTAGGCTCTTTTGGCTAAAATGTGCCAGGAGCATGGGGTAGAGAAATCTGAGGACTTTTTTAAAGGCTGCTCAGTCTTATTGGCATCTCTGTTTATTAATTATCTATCATCAATTTCAGTCAAGCCAGCATTGCTTCATCTGACAAGGGCATTTTTCCCCTTGCTTTGGGAATTCATTTATATGAAAAAAACTATGGATTACAAATTAAATCACATTTAGTTTCCCACTTAATATAATAGTTTTATAAAAAAGAATAAAATGGTATGAATTAAAAATTGTGATGATGAAGTGTGTTAGATTTGGAGCCTATTGAGAGTTCATTCAGGCCTGAGGAGACTTGCCCCTAATTAATTATAATCCTAGCTACCATATAGACGGCTCACTACAAGGCAGGCACTTTCAATATGTGGCAATCTCATTTAATCTTCACAGCAATGGCATGTGGTAGGCACTTCTGTTATTAACCCCATGTTAGACATGAGGAAACAGGCATAGAGAGATTAAACATTGGCAGGGATCATTCAGTAAAAGAGCTGGATATGCCTCCAACGCCCAGGTTCTATCTCTTCTATAATACTGGTAGTTAAAAGGTAGAATCGTTGGCTGCTCGTCTAACCAACAACGTAACCTAGAATCATTGAGATTGGAAGTCACCAGCTGGCAGCCTACTGGCTGAACTTGGCCCACAGCATATTTTGTTTGATGAGCTTGAATTTTCTATTTCTTCTTTTGGTTTGAATACCTTTGATGGAGCATGCAGGCTACTCTGTGAAGCAGGAAGAACCAACACAACCGTTTCTAGGCAGAACCCTGTTGCGCTGGGTGGGTTTACAAGGCCTGGTGTGCCTCATTCACCTGCCCGGCCCTGCAGGCCTGTCAGTTTGCTACCCTGGTTTAGATGGACCCGCTCATTTTATGGGCCCAAGAGGGAATGGGATTTCCCCAGCGTCACTCAGCAAGCAAGCCAGTGGCCACGCAGGACTTGGGGCCGTGCTCTCAGCCCCAGATGGGCCCTCCTTTCCCTGGCATCACTCCTCTGCCCCCACCTGCGTTGCCCAGGGCTGGTGGCCCTGCCCCTCCACATGTCCACCCGTCAGTTTCCACCCTGTTTCCTGCTGGGGCTGGTCTCTCCAGCCCATCACCGTCCTGGATTCTTCCTGCTCAGAGAAGCTGAAGTCAGGGGTGTGTGCAAGGTGAGGCCCTGGCACAAGCTCTTCCCTGCAGGGTGCATAGGACCTTTGCGGAAGCCACGGATTGCCTGTTACGGGAACAAAGAGCTGGCTTTTTAATTATCCAGCCCCGACAGGCCCCCGCAGGCTGGTGAAGAAGGGAGCCTCCTGGGGCTGCCTGGCAGATGCCCTGATTTCCATTCCTTGAAGAGGCCACTTGGAAAAGAAAGAAACCATCAAGTAATCAAGCATGAAGGACGGACACACTCTCCAGGTGAGGACAATCACACTGCCCAGAAGGGGGTGCTGGGGTGGGGGGTGGGGGGCTCTGCAGACAGCAGGGTGTGCCCAGAGCCTTGGGCTTAACAGTGCAGAAGCTGGGCCCCAATGCTGGCCTTGAGGCTCAGGGTTCAGGGAGGCAGAGGGAGGGGATGCAGACACAGGCTTGGCAGCCAGATTGATTCAGGGATGGATTCTGGACTTTGTGGCTGACCTGCTCTCTGACCACAGGCGAGTCACTTAATCTCACTAAGTCTCAGTTTCATCAACTGCAAAATGGAGATACAATTCCTCTCTCCTGTGCAGAATAAACAGTATGATGTCTGTCAGGGACTTTGCACAGAGAGGGAATCACAAACAAGAATAGGAGCTACCCCTGTTCTGTGTGTTCCTGGCTCTGTGTTAAAAGCCTCACATTCATGCAGCCATTTACTCTTCAAATTGTAACACCATGTGACAGCTGGTGTTTTGCTGAAATGAAATCACAGCTTGCAACGGGTAT